CGAAGTATAACTTTTTAGTTTTCCATGACAGGATATACTTCCTGTAGGCTTTATTAACATCTTTATAACGCTATATCATTTATAAAAATCCGGCATCAAATAAAGAAGTTGTAGAAAAAAAATCGATTTAGCGGTTTTTACAGGGCGTCGAAAAAAAATATTACTCTCCTGAAATACCCTAATAGCAAGTGTTTAAAATCGATGGTTTTAAAGGGTGTAAAAAAAATATTATTACACTCCTCAAATACCCTTAATAATGTATCTGCATTAGGGTGGTCCAAAAAAAATAAATTCGGAATTTTAGTGCTCTACCTAGGATTGTGCTATATCGAAAGAATATACCCCTAGTTTTAACCGACTTGGAAAAAAGTTCGTCGGATTTTTTTTTAAGAAATTGGCGATAATCTTAAATTTTTTATATGTGATTTGACGTCGGTTTTGTTTTTTTTGCTTAAAAATTTTTGTTTTATATTGAAATCTAAAATATTTAGAGGTCGCTTAAAGTTTATCCGTGTATGTATTTTATATGGAGAAAAAAAAACAACTTTTCGTAGAAATGGAATAGACCTCTTGAAATTCAATGTTTTTCAATCGGAAAACTCTGGTTCTCTTCAGGTGACTTCCAATAATAATACCCAATATTTTATTTAAAAATTTTTTAATACGAAAGGGTTTTTATTGCTCTCCTCATTGCATTGTCTGGGGTTTTTGGCGTACCTATAAAGTATAGTTACTATGAAAAAATTGTTAAACGGGAGTCTCCTGAAGATAAACAGAGTTTTCCGATCGAAAAATATTGATTTTCATGAATCCTATACAATTTCTACGAAAAAATTGAACAATCTTGGTCTGATTTGGCTGGTTATCTCGCAATTATATATCCTAGCCTAATTGTTGTTTTCTTTTTGTTTGAAAATATGAATATACATATGTATGAAAACCTGGCCAATAAACGAATAATCTTTAGATACATACAAAAATCGGCCGCTGTGGTGTAGTGGTAAGCAGTGCGCGCTTCCNGTTTTTTCTTAACAGCGGTCGTCCCTCGGCAGGCAATGGCAAACCTCCGAGTGTATTTCTGCCATGAAAAACAGCTTCTCATAAAAATACAATCGCCGTTCGGAGTCGGCGTAAAACTGTAGGTCCCTCCGCTTTGTGTGACAACATCAAGGCGTACGCCACAAATCGGAGGAGAAGCTCGGCCAAACTCTAACATATGTGTAAGCGCCAATCTATTATTATTATTACACACAAAAATCGGCACATCTAATGCCAAATTTTCCCAAGGNCGGCCAAACTCTAACATATGTGTAAGCGCCAATCTATTATTATTATTACATACAAAAATCGGCACATCTAATGCCAAATTTTCCCAATTCATTGAAATGACGAAAAAATGTATGCCATATAAAAAAATGCCATGTGGAAACGAATTTAATGACAATTTTCTTAAGGCAATAACGCAGGTATTTTTTAATGCCCGATTTTGTCATTAAAATTTGTGTCATTTAATGCTTAGTGGAAATACGGCATTAGAGATTGAGTTTACAATTTTGCTGATAAAGAATTTACCTCTCTATGCTATTAGAGTAACAAAATTTCGCTCATCACTGTTGTGATTTCTAGTTCCCCGCAAAATGTGCCACATAAATTCGATTTTAAGTGCTAGAAAAATACACAGAAACTTAAAAATGTGTGTTGTAGCGGCATATTTCTGGCAGCGGAAAAATTAGTGCCAATATCACAAAATTCTATAGTATGTCTTACCAAATATGGGCTAAAGTTCAAAAAACAAAAATCCTGTTAACGGGCTAAACTGGTGGGAGTAAAGCTCAACATCACCTCAAGCACTGCAGTAGCTGTTTCGATAATTATTAAGTGGCCAGCCTTCAAGATCTTAAGAATTGAACAGTTTTTGAAAATCCTCAAAAAGCTTTCGGGAACAGAAGTACCCACTTGTGCAACTATGTTGTAACGGGGCATCATCGTTCAACCACCTTTTCTTCTTTTCTTTCAAATCCTCTCACTTCCTTAATGGCAATACTAGGAACAGGCAATCTATACTTAATATTGACCGATCTATGACTTCAAATAAAAAGAACTCCGAAATAAATACCTAATAAATTCTGCTTTTTGGCTTTCGATATCTTCACCAAAAAAAAAGTATTTAATTTTTATTAAAACCTTTTTACAGTAACACGCTTTTAAAGCTTTTATCGAGCTGAAGTAACGACATTAAATAAAATCTCAAAACCAATATTTTATGTTGAGAAAAAATACACTTGGGAAAATGTATGCTACGTTTTTGTGATCCATTTATATTTAAACATATTTGCACTGTAATAGAATTCGAAAAGCAATTTTTAGATCACACACAGTTATTTGAGTTCATTTTTTTTTCTTTTAATAATTAAAATGGAGCACATTAGGTCACCTGTAAACTTAACAAATTTAGAAGTGTAAATATTTTTAAAACAAAATACATACATATGTATAGATATAAAAGATACTAAAAAGAGACAAATAGATATAAAAACTTTGACAAGAAAATACATTAATGTATGTATATAGTGTAGAAATATCTGAAATAAAAAGAGATATCACATATTTATAGCAAAACGTGTTAAAATACGAAATAGAGATTTAGTAAAAAAACCATTCTACAAATAATAAGTAACTGTAATTGTTACCGCCATAACTGTAAAATTATATGCAGTTCAGAACAAAACAAGTTAATTAAAAAAGTCTCAATAAAACGTTAAAATTGTACATCTACAAAAAACAATTGCAAATTGGATTTCCGAACAAATTATTCAATAATATGTAACAAAGAAAATGTAATTTGGGAAAAATTTGAAAAAATTAAACAAATAAATAAGTATTCATTGAAGTTTCCTAATTATTTATGAATTTCATTACGGAGCTGTATATTGACAGAATCAATTGAGTTTTCATTCACATATTCACAACAAATTTTTCTAATGCAGTAACTGCCAACGCAGGTCGATAGAACTGATTTCGCAAAGTTAGCTCGCTTCTGAAACATATCGAGCCTAAGCGCCAAGAAGATTTTAGCGACATTTTTTTCAGAATTTTATTTTTGATGCGTCTAGAGGATCTAGGAACATTTTTGCATCAAAAAGAAAATTTTGATTACTATGTTTTTTTGTCATGACCTTACCCAATTTCATTTTTCACTAAATTTGAGTGATTTAGTTAAAGCTAATAAAATTTCCGAGAGACCAGTCGAGCCGATTTTCATTTATTTTNCAGTTCAGAACAAAACAAGTTAATTAAAAAAGTCTCAATAAAACGTTAAACTTGTACATCTCCAAAAAAAAACAATTGCAAATTGGATTTCCGAACAAACTATTCAATAATATGTAACAAAGAAAATGTAATTTGGGAAAAATTTGAAAAAATTAAACAAATAAATAAGTATTCTTTGAAGTTTCCTAATTATTTATGAATTTCATTACGGAGCTGTATATGGATTGAATCAATTGAGTTTTCATTCACATATTCACACTGTGCAACAAATTTTTCTAATGCAGTAACTGCCAACGCAGGTCGATAGAACTGATTTCGCATAGTTAGCTCGCTTCTGAAACATATCGAGCCTAAGCGCCAAGAAGATTTTAGAGACATTTTTTTCAGAATTTTATTTTTGATGCGTCTAGAGGCTCTATGAACATTTTTGCATCAAAAAGAAAATTTTGATTACTATGTTTTTTTGTCATGGCCTTACCCAATTTCATTTTTCACTAAATTTGAGTGATTTAGTTAAAGCTAATAAAATTTCCGAGAGACCAGTCGAGCCGATTTTTATTTATTTCGGAAGTAGCAATTTCGAAGTAAATCGATTTTCTTGTTCCAATTAATAAATTTTTCATAAAAAAACTAGTTAAAAACGATTGTAGCGTTCCTTCAAAACGAAAAAAAAACATCACAAGAAAAATTTGAAATTTTTCAGCAAAATTAAAAAAAATANATTTTTCATAAAAAAACTAGTTAAAAACGATTGTAGCGTTCCTTCAAAACAAAAAACATCACAAGAAATATTTGAAATGTTTCAGCAAAATTTAAAAAAAAAAATTTAAATTTCTAGAAAAATGTTGGATATGCAGTTTTATAGACCGTTAAATTTTAGTGCAATTTGTAAGAAGCTAAAGGTCACGTTGATTCTTAATAATTTTTTCGCTAATATTTCCAGCAGGCTAAATTGGGAAATAAAAGCGTTTTTTATACTATTAAAAATCAACGCGAACTCTAAGCCACCAGCAACTGGCATTTTATTATACTAAAATTTAATTAGCTATAAAATTGCATACCCAAAATTTTTATAAAATCGAAAAAAACGATAATTTTAGTGAACTTTTTTATAACATTTCAAATTTTTCTTTTTATTTATTTTTTTCATTTTGGGAGAATCCTACAATTGTTTTCAACTATGTAGCTTTTATATTTTAACCTTTATTAGCTGGAAAAGAAGAATAATTTTTCTGCAAAATTGCTACTTCTTCTGCACTTTGCACTAAAAAATTTAATACAAACAAACAGAAATTTAAAAATCGGACCCAACTTCGCTCTTTCAAATTTTATTAGATTTCATTAAAAAACAGTTATTAATCAAATTGAGTGAGAATTGAATGATCAAGTGAATTGTGAACACAAAATGCCAATTTTGAACCACTGTGCCATGGTCCTCACGATTGTTAGAGAAGTGAGTATTATCCATTTCGTACGTTCTTCGATGTTTCTTTGGATAATATTAAGATACAAGTGTATGTATATTTTTACTCTTTTATATATTGAAGGGGGTGTGAAACGAAATTGATGATTATCAGCTAGTTTTCGATACAATTTCTTGCTTGTAGCGACCAAATCTTCATTACCTGTCTCTGCAGATGTTTCCGGCGACCCTACGGCTGCCAATTGATCGGCAGAAGCCACTCTGCCTTAGTAATGAAGTGGTTCGTCCAAAAAGTAAAGTTCCTAACTAGATTCCAACACAATGTTCTTTCAAACATTTGAGACGTGTATCTCACTTTATTTCTTAGATTTATCGACAAATATGTATGTATGTGTGTATGTATCGTACATTCGAACGCATTTCTATAGACTACTCTATGCACTCGCACATATTTATAAAAATGCAAATAAAAAATTATTGGTGTTTTAGCTTACATTTATAAATATTTTTTATATTTTAGTTATGAAGTTTGTGCAATACACTTAAAAAAAACAAATATCCGTTGCTTGCTGTGTGATAAAAACCGCATTTGTATTAACAATAAAAATTTGAATAAATTAAGTGTGTGGATTTTTTGTAAATATATTTATAAGAGAGAATTAATCGCTGCTCTAAAATGGCACACCATATTGCGGCACACTGCACGTCTTCGATTGAGTTGTACATTTGCAGCTCTTGCCCGATGGCGCTTTGCTGTTCACCAAACAAATTCGTGCATCAGTACAGCCACCATTGTTGATCTGACAGGCGCTAGTTAATTGAGGGCAACTGTCCTCGATGGCAGTCATACCGTACATTTTGTGACTGCCGAAGAAAGGAGTCTGTATGCCCTTTTGACGATTACCGAAAGCGTCTACGATTTCCAATTTTTTACTATAGTCAAGCAGAAGAAAAGAGAAAAACTTTAATACGAATAGATAAATAATAAAAAATAAAACACGCACGTAGACCAATCAGTCCAATAGAATTGATTATGCGTAAATGTCAAGCCGAATGGATAGGTGAGGTCATTAGAAATCGTGCGTAGCTGCTTGGAGTAGGAATCAATGCACTCCACCTTCTTGGTGCCCGCATCGGCATAGCAGAGCTCACCGCTGCTCTCCAGTATGACCAGCGAATTGGGTAAAGTGACGGCGCCACTGCCTAGCAAAAGTTCGCGTCCAGTGCCATCCAGATCGGCCATTTCGATTTTAGGCGATTCGCGATCCCAATCGGACCAATAAAGCTTTCTATAGTAAACAAACTTATGTTTAAAAAAAAAAACAGATTTTTTCTTTTTAGAGATAACTCACTCTCTGTACGGATCCACTGCTATGCCACGAGGATTCACCAAATTTTTATTTATCAAAACTGCACGTAACGTTGGATCTTCCAAATTAGCCACCTCAATGGTATCCTTCACTGAATCAGTCCAGTAGATGCGTCGCGAAATGCAATCGATAGCAATACCTTCGGGCGATTCGATATCTGTTTGAAAATTAAAAAAAAGTAGCATTCTAAGTGCCCCAACAACTACTACAATTAAATAGTTACTTACCATCAGCAAGGAATGTCTTGGAGTCCGTTCCATCATAATTAGCGCTAACGATTTTCTTTGAAGAAATATCACCCCAGTAAATGCGTCCCTCTACGCAATCCTTATCAAGTCCAATGGCCATCGATGCAACGGAAATGGGTTTCACGTTTTTGCCATTTAACGGTACGCGCACAATAACGACGCCTTGACTCACCAGCAGAAAACCGGATTCATGTTGCTGGCGTTCCAAACAAAGCGAACCATTTCCATAGAAACCTAGAAGATTTAGAAGAAGGGGATTAAAATTGGAGTTCCGAAAATTTCGGCTCAGGGATACATATGTAAATGACTAAATTACAACTTGGAATGCGAAAATTAGTAAATTGCAGGCCAGTATTTACTTAAAAATTATTCAAAAATATGTTATAAGGATATTAAAATCGTTGAAGGACGCAAGTATTTGCATGCAAACATGTCGACGGTTGAGTAGAACGTTTGAAAAACTCCCTATTTCAGCGTTTTCGAAGCGGCAGCTGAGATAGCGCGTTTTTGAACCAAATTTTGAATTAATGTGTTTTTGCACCGGCAGCCGAGATAGGGCGATCTTCCATTCAACCGACGATATGTAGTACAAAGAGCACAGTGTGCGCCTCAAAGTATACAATTAATTCCACTATGAAATAATAGAGTTAATTAGACCGATCAAGACTTCTTCTTGTGGAATTACCTAAGCCAACATAACCCAGGCCATCGCTCAACTTAAACCATGTTATATTCCATACATAATAGCATTCATTGTTCATTCAAATACAAAATAATTTTTCACGCATCTTTTTTATTCTATGTTATTTCAACTTCTACCCGCCCTTATCGGAAAGCCCTTACAACCATTTGTCGGTGTGAGCCGAAATCAAAATACTTCACCAATGCTTCTTCTCTTCAAATTAAGCGTAGAAAAGTCCTTCTGCGCGTAGTCTTTTCATTTCGCTCGTCCATTTCAGAATCAAAGGACTTTTATCATCTAAACTTACGATATGTCCATTGTATTTTTACGGCGTCTATTTTCTAATGATAAAGGGTCATTTGCGAAGTTGAGTTTGGAAGGGGATGCCCTCCAGGCGGTGTACTCTTGTCTCTCTTGTGGTGTTTGGTAGTGTAAGACTTCGATCACATCCAAACTTACGGGGATGAAAATCACTGACAAAGGTCTGCCCAAAGACACATAGGGCTTTGGATAGGCTTGATGACTGGGACACTTTGCAGAGGCCTGCTATTAATCCCAACCATCTGGTACTTAGTGGCATAAGCCTGGGCCTTCCAAGCAAGCGAAATATCTAGGGCTAACTGAAGATATGAAGTTAAGATATCGAGCTGAAAGCAAACCGATCACTTTAAGTAATATGAAGTGTCGGAGAATCTTTATAGAGCCTTAGCGTCAGGAGCGGCTCTTCGTGCTTTGTTGGATTCACTCCCCCATAATATAGCAAGCATTATAATGCTTAATAATTATTAAGCATTTTGGCAGGTTGGAACCTTTCGGTCCCTTAGTTTCATTTAGAAGCTTTTCAGTGTTTTGTTTTTTACCTTATGACAAACGGATATATTTATGTCATATATTTTTGGTAAAAAATACATAATTAGCGTTCCTACAAGGGAGCTCAGGAGAGGGCAATGCACTCTCTTGGGAAACTGGGTAATCACGTTTTTTGTCGGCCGCGCCAAGACTGAAAGTAGAAGCCAAACAGGGTGATAATAGCATATGTAGATATCATCGACGACCCACTGGGTGAGAAAATGAAAAGAGCCTTCGCTGGACTGAGATAGACAAGCTAAATTTGTTTTTCCTCAACAAATTACTAAGGTTAATAATATAGCCTAATAAGTTTGCGTAGGAGTAATTATTTCCTATATTCTTAATCTTTTTCCGGCCCTTTACAATTACATTTCATTTCAAATCCCTCAAAAGGCTTCAAAGCTTTCTCATCTTTTTTCGACTGTAGAGAAGAAGATTTTTTGAAAGAGGGAGGACCCTACTTTCAAATTGACAAGTCTGATCTCGAGCAGCACGGAAACTTTCCAATGAGAAATGCCAATGGCTGCATTTGCCTTGGATGTTGTGCTCTGAGCATCGGACCCACAACGTAAGAAATAAATAAAACCAAACACTAGTCATCCTCTTTGTCCTGGCACTTGAAACGCATCAGCAGCTTTATAGAGAAAATTTCCAATTTGTCAAGGCTTTATCTTTCAATCAACATGTCGTTCAGTGTCGATTCAACTTTTTCGATATAAAATTTGGAAAATGTTTTCACAAAATTTTCTGTGTAAAATTCATTATTTGCCAAAATTGTCTGCAGTTCATGGCCTCACTACGAAAACATTGGCAACGCCACAACCAGCGAAGTCCAGGCGAAATTTTGCCACAGTACCACCGACCGCGAGAATAGGTGGGCCACAAATACAAGGCGGCGGCAGCCCAAAGAAGCCAACAATGACAACAATAGGCGGCTTACGTGAATTCCTACTACATCCACTCACTTGGGATCGCAACAACGGTTACTTCAATATATTACTTGGCTTGGCCATTTTTGGGTATTGTTTCTGCACCGCCTGTAAGAGCGAAGGGCCGCGCACAGTTTCGTATGAACAAAAAGGAAAGAAATAAAAATTATGTAGCTACATAAATGGCGTTCAAATGACCTCAAAGCAAAAACATGAGTGGTATTCTTCCTTAATTCCCTAACTTGTATGTGTTTATACTCACCCTGGTTGCAGACGCAGACCAAGCCATTATTGGTTGACAAACATTTGGCATTCATATCGCACATTTGTGGTGTATTGAGACAGTTTTTATCCTCCACACAAACATAACCATCGCCGTGGAAACCAGCATTGCATTGACACTCGTATCTAGCCGGATCGCTGTGGAAATGAGCTTAGTCAAACGTCAAGAAAACAGAAACCATACTTTCCGATATACTCACTCGGTAGGCTCACAGGTCGCATGTACGCCACAATTATTACGCACATTGCAAGGTGGCGGTATGCTGCGGCAGCCTTCCAAAGCATCGCCCTCATAGCCCTCAATACAATCGCAATACTGCACACCCTGCACAGAATCCCATTTGCATATCGCATTTGCGCCACAGAAAACAGGACCACAGCGACCAGCCTGCACGCAGCTATCGGATACGTCCCGCTCGAAACCGGCCAAGCACTGGCAGATGCCCGCATCGCAGAAGGCATTCTGTCCACAGGTGGCATTGTTGCGGCAATCGGGCGCCAATTGGCAGTGGTAGCCATCACCTTCGTAGCCTTCTTCGCAAATGCAACGCGACGCGTTATAATCACAATAGGCATGTGCATCACAAAT